TGTGTGGTTGTGTGGTTGTGTGGTTGTGTGGTTGTGTGGTGGTGTTGGTGTGTTGGTGTGTTGGTGTGTTGGTGTGTTGTGTGTGTTGTGTGTGTTGGTGTGTTGTGTGTGTGTGTGTGTTTGTGTGTGTGTGTGTGTGTGTGTGTGTGTGTGTGTGTGTGTGTGTGTGTGTGTGTGTGTGTGTGTGTGTGTGTGTGTGTGTGTGTGTGTGTTTCTCCCCTCCTGACAAAACCCCTGAACGATCGGCGTCCCCTCATCGTTCCGTGCTGGCCGAGGCGGGGCCCCTGGCGGCCTCCCACCCGGAACGCCCGCGGCGGGGCCGCCGCCGCGCCGGCACGGCGCGAGCCTGCCGTGTACAGCTTCGGAGGGGCCCTGAGACACGCAAAGAAGTGCACACAAATAAACTTATTCCCCATATTTCCCTAGATGTCCTAGGCTTTTGCCTTCCCCCCCACTTCCCATATGTTCCCCTAATTTTCTGGGGAATCGGAGATGAGATTCACTGTGCCTGTGTGTCTTTGTTCCCTCCTGAAGCTTGCTCTCCTCCTCGGGAGCCCGCGGCGAGCATGGAGAGCCAGCCCACCTTGGCGCCCTCGGAGACGGCGGCGCTGGGCTGCGAGAGCAGGAGCCCCGTGGCCGTCAGCGCCAGAGCCCCGACGGCCGGGCCGAGGTAGAGGGCGGCTGCGAAGCCCACGACGTGGATCTGGCCGAAACCTGCGCTGCCGGCTATGCCTGCACGGCGGTCGGCAGAAGTTCTCGGGGTTTCTTCAGAAGCGTGGGGGGGTCCCCCCCCCGACGTGGGGAGGTCCCCCCCCCCACAGGGGGTCAACCTCGCCTCGTCGTCGCGCCGCGACGGGGGTCGCAGCGCCTTCGGCGCGCGGTGGCTGCCCGCGACGGGGGTCGGTGTGGGGCTGCCGGCGGTGGTGGTGACGCCCCCCCGACGCTTATTAAGAAACTCGGAGTATGTAAAAAGATGAAGCAGGAAGGCGGATAAAGCAGATTGGGTTCAGGCCCTCCCAGAGAAAAACAACACACAGTAAAAGCAGATCGACTCTCGGAGTAGGAGGGGAGGACGCTCGAAGCAGATCGGGATCTGGGCGTCCAAAAATGCTTACTTTCAACGACCGGCGTGTACAGTGGAGGCCCATGCCAAGAAACACTCTGCTTGCCTCTGGGCTGCCCTGGATTTCTTGGGATTCGACGGTCTTGCTGTGAAGGCGTGACGCTCCCACACCAAAATCGATGGACGTCCTGGGGTCTCAGGGTTGGGTTTCTTGTAGAAGGTTTCATCCTCGGCCGCGCGCATGGGGGAGTAGGAAAGGCGAGGCCAGGACGAGGGGGAGGAGACGGAGGAGGAGGCGGAGGAGGAAGAGGAGGAGGAGGTTTCTTGTGGACTGGCCTCCACTGTGAAAAGAATGCCTAACGGCGGCGAAGGTAGAAGTGCTCTGAGCTCCGCGCGGACGCCTTGGCTCGGCGCCAGGCAGCCATCCCCTCACTTGGGGATCCCACGGCGGTGGTGTGACAGACCGTGCGGTGACCTCGGAACTTGCGGCGACCTCGCTGCACGGACCGCCGCCGCGCGACCTCGGGACCCCGGGGGCCCCGGATCGCCCGAGGCGTCCCCGAAGAGCGACCCGCGCCCCAAGACCGAGCGGTGACCTCGAATCCCCACTGACACTAGAAGAAGAGAAGACGCCCTTTGGCGCTCCGCGCGGGCTTGTTGGGTCTGCGCTGGACCCCCCCGCCCTGGCGAGCAGGGCGCGCCAAGGCCGCGCTGGAGGCGCCGCCGGGCGGGCGCCCAGCGCGGATCCAAGAGATCCGCGCAGCGCGCCAACAGTTATATCTATCTATATCTATGTATCTATCTATCTATATATTTGTAAATATATCTACATATCTATCTATATATCTATCTATATAGCTATCTATATATCTATCTATCTATCTATCTATCTATCTATATATCTATCTATCTATCTATCTATCTATATATATATCTATATATCTATATATATATATCTATCTATCTATCTATATATCTATCTATCTATCTATCTACCAATCTATATGTCTATCTATATATCTGTCTATCTATATATCTATCTATCTATATATATAGTTATCTATCTATCTATATATCTTTTTTATATCTATATATGTATATATATGTATGGATCTATATATCTATATAAATATATATCTATATATATCTATCTATCTATCTATATATCTATCTATCTATCTATCTATATATCTATCTATATGTGTATATATTTATTACACATATATATATGTGTGTGCCGCCTCCTCCCCTTCGAGACTCACCGCACGGTGCGGTCACCGCACCGTTTGGGGGGCCCTCCCAGGGCGCGCGGGGAGGCGCTGGGACTAGGCGGGCCCGGCGCCGGCCCAAGAGCGCCGCGCGGAACCTCGGACGACGGGCCGAAATTTCCACCACTACGACCAAGAGGTAGGACTGGGGAGAAGGGAGGATTGGGAGGCCCTCCACCTCCTCCTCCTCCTCCTCCTCCTCCTCCTCCTCCTCCTCCTCCTCCTCCCTCCTCCCCCTCCCCCTCCCCCTCTCCCTCTCCTCCCCCTCCCCCTCCCCTCCCCTCCTCCTCCTCCTCCTCCTCCTCCTCCTCCTCCTCCTCCTCCTCCTCCTGTGCCTTCTCCCCCTCCCCGCCACGATTACTCAATATGAATACTACTCTCCCTCTTCCCCTGATGACGGTTTGAAAAGTGCGCCCCCCCCCCCCCCGCGTACTGTTTTTTTACTTACAGGTGTCTCTGGAGTTGGATTCTCGCCTGCATTTGTTTTCAAAATGCTGCTCTCGCTGAGGCGCCGGCCTCATGTTCAGGCCCCGCTCGTTCCGAAACGTGCTCCCGCTGCAGCGCTGGCCTCATTTCCGTGCTTCCGCTCGTTCCGAATCGTGCTACCGCTGCAGCGCTGGCCTCATTTCCGCGCTTCCGCTCGTTTCGACTCGTGCTCCCGCTGCAGCGCTGGCGTCATTTCCCGTGCCATGCCACGGCATGCAATGCAATGCTAGGTTGATACTACGGTTTGCGGTGCTCTTCTACGCCATGCCATGCCGTGTTCTACAATACATCGCGTACCCTTTCGGGATCATTGCCCTGCTCGACATCCGACTGAGCGAGTAGAGAGGGGATCTGCGCCATGGTAAGGGATGGGAGGGAGGGGAAGGATGTCAGATATGACGCGAGCGCACCTAGCTTCCCCCTCCACCCCTCCTCCTCCTCCCCTCTCCTCCTTCATCCTCCTCCTCCTCCCCTCCTCCTCCTCCTCCTTCCTCCTCCTCCTCCTCCCCTCCTCCTCCTCCTCCTCCTCCTCCTCCTCTCCTCCTCCTCCTCCTCCTCCTCCTCCTCCTCCTCCTCCTCCTCCTCCTCCTCCTCCTCATCATCATCACATCAGCATCAGCATCAGCATCAGCATCAGCAGCCATCAGCATCAGCATCAGCATCAGCATCAGCCACAGCCTCAGCATCAGCATCATCATCATCATCATCATCATCATCATCATCATCATCATCATCATCATCAGCATCATCATCATCATCATCATCAGCATCATCATCATCATCATCATCATCATCATCATCATCATCATCATCATCATCATCATCATCATCGTCATCATCATCGTCATCATCATCGTCATCATCATCATCATCATCATCATCATCATCATCATCATCGTCATCAATCATCATCGATCATCATCATCATCATCATCATCATCATCATCATCATCATCATCATCATCATCATCATCATCATCATCATCATCATCATCATCCGCCTCCTCCTCCTCCTCCGCCTCCTCCTCCGCCTCTCCGCCTCTCCGCCTCTCCCTCCTCCCTCCTCCCTCCTCCCTCCTCCCTCCGCCCTCCTCCCTCCTCCCTCCTCCCTCCTCCTCCTCCTTCCTCCCTCCTCCCTCCTCCTCTCCCTCCTCCTCCACCTCCTCCCCTGCCTCCCTCCTCCCTCCTCCCTCCTCTCCTCCTCCCTTCCTCCCTCCATCCTCCCTTCCTCCCTTCTCCCTCCTCCTCCTCCCTCCTCCCTCCTCTCTCCTCCCTCCTCCTCCTCTCTTCCTCCTCCTCCACCACCTCCACCACCTCCACCTCCTCCCCCGCCTCCTCCTCCTCCCTCCTCCTCCTGCTCCTGCCTATGGTAGTAGTGGTGGGAAATCGTCCCATTATCGGAGCAGGGCAAGTTGAGACAACGGCAGCTCTGACAAATCGGTATCCGCAGCCCGCCTAAGATTCAGACTCACCAGTTCCCTGAGCTGCGACCAGCCTTGGCGACGAGGGCTTCCCCCGAAAGCCAACTACCGTTGTCTCGCCTCCTCTGAGGACCCTGCGCTCCCAGCTGTGCCGTCGCTCGTCTTGCCGGTCACGTAGTCCATCTGGAGGAAGGTCTCCCACCCCGCGATGCCCAGAGCGAGGCAGAAGACCGCCCCCAGGACAATGTACAAGATGGCCGAGTTGACGTCGCCAGCGGCGCGGGGCTTCCACGCCTCTTGGCTTTTGGGCCAGCGCATGCGTCGGGGGTTGCCGGGGGTGTCCCTTGCCCAGTGTGTCCCCACGATGCCCGAGGAGGCCCACACAGCCTGCAGAGCACGCTTCGCGAGGCCCAGATGGCGCCAGGGTTCCAGAATGCCGCGAAAGCAGGGAAACACTTTGGGCCAGGGACACCGTCAGGACCCCCCGAATGTAGAGAACCGTCGCTAGTGGGGACGCGAGCATCACCGCGATGACAGAAGAGGGGACAAAAACACAAACATACAAATTCGGAGGTCCACGCGGACTTTTTGGATCGGCGCTGGGACCCCCTGGCGGCTCCCTGGCGGCTCCCTGGCGGCGCTTCCGGCGCCGCCTCTGACGCGTTCCACGCGGAACTCCCAAACTTTATGCTCATGCCGTTTTCTTTTCTTCAAAATAACGAACATCGCCCCGAAGAACTCAGCGACGGTCTCCGCGTAGTGGTAGTCCTCGCGTGCGCGCGTCGAGCTAAGGTTCAGCAGGACGGCCGGAGCGGATTGCAGGAGCAACACGGAGGAGACGTCGTCCGCGTGGCACAACTCCCCCGTCTCCGCCAGGCGCGCTCTCCGCTGCGCGCCGCGGAGGAGCTCCTCCTGCTCCGCGCTGAGCACATCCTGTATCCGATGGGGGGATGGGGAGGGGCGGTGCGGGGGATTAGGAAAACAGAGAGTGGCATACGCATAAAAACTCGGAGGTCCGCGCGGATTTCTCGGAACGGCGCTCGACCCCCCTCCCTGGCGCGCGGAGCGCGCCAGGGGCGGCAACGCAGGCGCCGCCAGGGGGCCCGAGCGCCGATCCGAGAAATCCGCGCGGACCTGCGAGCTCTTATATTCATGTCATCCTTCGTTTCCCAAGGGAGACCACCAGCCTTTCGGGGCGTGGGCGCTTTGGAAGGCCTCCTCTTGCAGCCTCCCTCTTCCCCTCCGGGGAGGGGCATGGGTCCTGCTCTCGGCCAGATGCTGGCTTCGGGCTCTCCTACAAGTTCGCAGGCACCGGTATTTCTCCGACGGCCGCCTACTATCTTCAAAGATGGGTTCAGGCACCCTGAAAGCCTACAGCAAGCTTGGCAACCCTCTTGCTCCTCCGTCTCCTCCTCGCTTCTCTCCGTGGATAAAGACAACACTAGGGACTAGGGGAACAATAAGTGGCATAAATATAAAAACTCGGAGGTCCGCGCGGATTTCTCGGATCGGCGCTGGGACCCCCTCCCTGGCGCGCGGAGCGCGCCAGGGGCGGCGGAATCGCGCCCGGGGGGCCCCAGCGCCGATCCGAGAAATCCGCGCGGACCTCCGAGTTTTGTGTATGCCACTCTTTGTTCCCCTAACACACCGCCGGAGATCTGGGTCCACATCCTCCTCCTCCTCCTCCTCCTCCTCCTCATCATCATCATCCTCCTCCTCCTCCTCCTTCCCTCCCCCTCCCCCCCTCCTCCCCCTCCTCCCCCTCCTCCCCCTGCTCCCCCTCCTCCCCCTCCTCCCCCTCCTCCTCCTCCTCCTCCTCCTCCGCCTCCTCCGCCTCCTCCTCCTCCTCCTCCTCCTCCGCCTCCTCCTCCTCCTCCTCCTCCTCCTCGCCTCCCTCCGTGGACAAAGACAACGCACCGCCAGAGATCTGGGTCCGCCTCGGAGGCCCGCCACTCCGCGGGCCTCCCCTGGGGCGCCCTCCCCACCGGACTCTCGAGGAGCACCCGGCCCCGGAGGCGAAAGCTCTCCAGGACGAGCAGCGGCAGCGGCACCTCCTCCTCCTCCTCCTCCTCCTCCTCCTCCTCCTATCCCTATATCCCAGCCCAGAGCATATCCCTATATCCCAGCCCAGAGGAGAAACGAACTGCAGAACATATCCCTATATCCCAGCCCAGAGCATATCCCTATCCCTATGTTAGGCATCGCCTCATCACGATGGCGATCCTAGGGATTCCCTCAGTTTCTGAGGGTGCATCCCTAAGACTGTCATCGCCTTCTGGCGTGTCAATCTCGGGGATGGGGACAAGTTCGAGGCTGGCGAGGGGAGAAACGAACCGCAGAAGCCGACACGGTCGGAGGTCCCCGCGGAGCTCTTGGACCTGCGCTGAACTGAAGGGGCCCCAGGACACACAAATAAATACACACAAATAAAAAGATTTCCCATTTTTTATATTTTCTGGGTTTCTGTCTTCCCCCCCCACTTCCCATATTATCCCATATTTTCCGGGGAATCGAGGATTCATTGTGTCTGTGTGTTTCTTTTCCTCCAGATGACCCCCCCTCTCTGGCGAGCGGAGCGCGCCAGGGGCGACACCGGAAACGCCGCCAGGGGGGCCCAGCGCGGAGCCAAGAAATCTGCGCGGACCGTCGAAAGTTTATGCTTCTGAGTATCGCTTATCCGGTCCCCATCCCCAACGGCGTGGCCTGGGCCCCGCTGGCCGATTTGCCCGAATAGGTGGGGACATAGGCCGTCCCCTTCGGGTTTCGAGGGGTGTATCCCCATCTGTGGTGGTAATTTGGTGGGGGTCTCGAAGGGGATGGGGATGAGGATGGGGATTGGAAAAACGAGAAAGGGGTGTGGTGCTGATTTTAGGTAAAGGGGACTCTGGTGATGCCATGTATGGTAGATAGCATCGCCATTTCCACGATTGACACCATACCCAGGTTAACATGTTTTTGGGGTCGATGTCCCCTGAACATTATAAACCGGGGTTTATTCCCTACCTAGGCTCTGCCTGGAAGGGTTCTCACTCTCTATCTTAAAGGGGCCGGGCAATTTTGCCCGCTCCGGGCGGTTCCCCCAGTCCCCTGGGAGCGGTTCCCCCAGTCCCTTGGCGTCCCAGGAAAACAAGCGGGTTGGCAGCCCGATCGTCACCACAGCTCGACGGGGCTGTGGGAGAGACTCTTGCCCTGTGGTTGGCCAGCCACAGTAGGTGCGGGCCCGCCGTACCACCCCTGAGAGGCCCGATGGGGTTACTCGAAGGGGTCCCCCGACGTGGGGGCGCGGGAACTTAAGTCCTTGGGCAGCGGGGCCTCCGCTGCTTGAGGCCGGCGGCCAAGTGGGGGTGGTGCCGGTGGCCGTGTCTCGGGGTGGCATCTCGAGGCAACTCGCAACGGCGGCGCGGATAACGCCGGGGGCGGTCCGTGCCGCCGTTCGTGTTGCGAGGTCCGACTGCATGTGAATTCATGCAGGCACCTTGGGCACCTCCCTTCGGGTTGTGTCGCCCAGGTGTTCTGTCCGGGCACAAAAAAAGGTTCCCCCAGTCCCCTGGGAGCTTTAGCTTTAGCTTAGCTTTAGCTTAGCTTAAGTTTAGCTTTAGCTTAGCTTTAGCTTAGCTTTAGCTTAGCTGTACCTTAGCTTTACCTTAGCTTTAGCTTAGCTGTAGCTTAGCTTTAGCTTAGCTTTAGCTTAGCTGTGGCTTAACTTTAGCTTAGCTTTAGCTTAGCTTTAGCTTAGATTTAGCTTAGCTTTAGCTTAGCTTTTAGCTTTAACTTTAGCTTAGCTGTAGCTTAGCTTTAGCTTAGCATTCGCTTAGCTTTAGTTTAGCTTTAGCTTAGCTTTAGCTTAGCTTTAGTTTATGTGTACCTTAGCTTTACCTTAGTTTTAGCTTAGCGTTAGCTTAAAATTAGCTTAGTTTTAGCTAAGCTTTACCTTAGCTTTAGCTTAGCTTCAGCGTAATGTTAGCTTAGCTTCAGCTTAGCTTTAGCTTAGCTTTAGCTTAGTTTTAGCTTAGCTTTACTGTTACTGCTAATGCTGCTTTCCTGGGGGGCTCCAACTCCTAGGTAGGGTCGCGCGGGGATAATAATGTTCCGGGGGGAACAGTATGAACCCCTGTAAAAAATACCCCCAGAACATTTAAGCCCAGGTTCATAGTGTTTCGGGCGAGACATTATGAACCCTGGCCAATAATCCCAGAACGTTATAAACCCAGGTCAATATCTCTCTGAGGTCCATCCTGCCCCTTTATGCCACACCCCCTTTCCGACCTCCAGACTTCTGCCATCTGCGGTTCTTCGACCTTCCTCCTCCGAGCTGCGGCGCGGACACTGGAGGCGCGAGCCCCTCCACGGCGCCGGCCCGCCGTCCTGCGGCCCCCCCGCGAAGACCGCGGGCGCGGCAGCTCCGCGCCCGCCGCCCGCCTGAGGAGTAAGGCTCGGAGGGGGACGAGGAGGAGGAGGAGGAGGAGGAGGAGGAGGAGGAGGAGGAGGGGGAGGGGAGGAGGAGGAGGAGGAGGAGGAGGAGGAGGAGGAGGCGCCTGGGGAGCGGCTCCACATCGGCCGACGCTGGATCGGCGATGCATCGCCGACGGCTCGGCGAGGAGCCCTGGCCCCGACGCTGGATCGCCGATGCCTCGCCGACGGCGCGGCGATGAGCCCCGCCGACGCATCGCCGATGGACTGGCGATGACCCTCCGACGACGAAGCGGCACGATCCAAGGCGGGGTGGGTCGGAGGCCCCTGCATCGGCGATGGGTGGGCGGTGAGGGGTCGGTGCCTCCTCCTCCTCCTCCTCCTGCTTCCCACGTTGCCCCCCACGGGCGGGCGGGGCACGGGGTCGTCGTCGTCGTCGTCTACGTCTACGTCGTCGTCTACGTCGTCGTCGTCGTCGTCGTCGTCGTCGTCTACGTCTACGTCGTCGTCGTCGTCGTCGTCGTCGTCGACGTCGTCGTCTACGTCGTCGTCGTCGTCGTCGTCGTCTACGTCTACGTCTACGTCTACGTCTACGTCTACGTCTACGTCTACGTCTACGTCGTCGCCGTGGCTCCCAGGGCCCCCGGGCGTTGCCCCCCGGCGGCCGCCCCCGCGAGGGCGGCGCGCGCGGGCCGCGCGGCGAGGGCCGCGGTCGCCGCGAGGAGCCCGCCGCCGGCCGGGCCGGCCCGGCCCCGGGCGGGCGCCCGCGGGGCCATCTGCCACGCGGGGCGGGGCGGCGGCGGCCACGCCTGCGCTCCTGGGCCTCGTCCTCGTCGTCATCGTCGTCTTCGTCGCCGTCGTCGGCGGCGTCGGCGGCGTCGGGTCGGCGGCGTCGTCGTCGTCGTCGTCGGCGTCGGCGTCGTCGTCGTCGTCGTCGTCGTCTACGTCTACGTCTACGTCGTCGTCGTCGTCGTCGTCGTCGTCGTCGTCGGCGTCAGCGTCGGCGTCGGCGTCGGTGTCGGCATCGTTGGCGTCGTCGGCGTCGTTGGCGTCGTCGTCGTCGTCGTCGTCGTCGCCGTCGCCGTCGTCGCCGCCGCCGCCGCCGCCGCCGCCGCCGCCGTCGCCGTCGTCGTCGCCGCCGTCGCCGTCGTCGTCGTCGTCGTCGTCGTCGTCGTCGTCGTCGTCGTCGTCGTCGTCGTCGTCCCCTGCCCTCCTGGGCCCCTCGCGTTGCGGGACGGTCACGACGCCACGGCGGGCTTCGCGTCGAAATTCGCATCAGAGCGCACCTCGGGAGAGCTCTGTGGAGCAGCGCCGCCAGCGGTACCTTTCTGCCCCCCCTCCACCCCCCGGAAATGACACTGACACACACACACACACACACTGACACACACTGACACACACTGACACACACACACACACACACACACACACTGACACACACACACACACTGACACACACACACACACTGACACACACACACACTGACACACACACACACACTGACACACACACACACTGACACACAAACTGACACACACACACACACACACTGACACACACTGCCACACACACACACTGACACACACACACACACACACACACTGACACACACACTGACACACACACACTGACACACACACACACACACACACACACACACTGACACACACACACACACACACTGACACACACTGACACACACTGACACACACTGACACACACTGACACACACACACACACACACGCACACACACACTGACACACACTGACGCACACTGACACACACACACACACACTTCGGAGGTCCGCACGGATCTCCTGGGCCTGAGTCGGCGCTGGACGACCCAGGCCCACGGACAACGGAAAAAGACGATGGAAAACCCCTGAGAGCTGTGGGAACGGTTCATTTCAAGGACACAATACGGGACCGGAATGCTGAACAATACTCTTCGTGAGTGACATTACAAAAATCGCCAGGGCCACACTCCAAACTTAAAAGTAGGTTATTATATGTTTCCGAACCCTGCGCGTAGGATGAATCATTTTCCGTAGCCTTGGCTCAAGCCCTGGGCTCAAGCCATCTCGGCTCGAGCCCGCCCCTGGACAGGTTCGCGCCGGGCCGGCCCCGTCGCGATGGCCTCGCGCCCCTCCGGCGCCGCCCTGCGGCGGCGGCAGCGCCTGGCCGCCGCCGCGCGCGACGGGTCGCCCCGCCCGGGCCTCCCGCCTGCCGCGGCTGCGGCTGCTGCTGCCGCCGCCGCCGCCTCCACCCTGGAGGCCGGCGCGCGGGCGGCGGCGTCGGCCAGCGGCGGCGGGCGGCGGCGGCGGCCAGCGGCGAGCCCCGCCGCCCCCCTGGCGGCTAGCGCCCCGGGCGGCTGGCGGCGGCCGGCGGCGGCGGCTCGGCCGCCCCTGCCGCGGCTGCCTCTGCGCTGCTGCTGCCCCGCCGCCCGGCCTCCCGCCGGCGCCGTCGGGAGCCCTGGCGCAGGCGGTCGGGGGCCCTGGCGCTGGCGGCGCCGCGGGCGCCGCGGCGGCCGCTGGCGCGGCCGCCGCCCCTCGCGCGGCCGCGCCCGCCCCAGCCGCTGCCTGCGCCGCGGCGGCCGCCGCCGCCACCGCCGCGGCCGCTGCCGGCCTCTGGCCGGCCGCGGCGTCGCTGGCGCGGGCGGCCGAGCTCGCGGCCTGCGCTGACGGACAGCCCCACGGCCAACCTGACTGCCAGCCCCGCGGCCTGCCCGGCCGCCTGACGGGCTCCCGCGTAGTGTCGGTGCTCGGCTGTCGCCACTCACGGTGCGGACTGCGGGCCCCAGTCCCTCTTCAGGGCTTTTGGTGCGCGACTTTACTGGCGCCACCTCGCGCACTTGTCGCGGTGACCCGCGCCATTTTGGTCGCGCGGCAGCCTTGCTGCTTCTCGGACACGCGCGTTCCGCTGCCGTCGGGTCACGCGGCTTCGGCCACCCTGGTTCTTCGCAGCTTGCCAACGCTCACGCCTTCAGGGCCTCAATTCGACTTCCGACTGTCGGTCTTCTGGCTGCGGCCACCCTGGTACTTTCGCAGTTGCTCGGAGTGTGCCATTGCCCTAATTGCACGGTTATGTCCCTGGTCGTGTTTCTTACCGACTTTGGCGTTTCCGACGTTCTGCGTGTTTGCACACTGGCAGTACTTCTCAGTTTCAGCCAGCCCCTCCACTCGCCGGTCCAGCGCTAAGGTGCTGCGTCAGGCCCCGTTTAGCCGCCTGGCCTCCGCTGCTGTAGGTTAATTAGTGTCTGCGTAGCCCGCTTTGACCTGACTCGCCGCCGGCGCGCTCGCCCGCGGCCGCTGCCTAAAAAGTAAGATGAGTAATCAACACAAGGGTCCTTTCCGTAACATAATGCCCGACGCAGCAACAGCAGAAATACGTGAGGTTATACGGGGACGTAAACATTGGCAATCCGCCACCGCATCGCGAGACACTGAGTGGATTGTCATCAGGTCCCTTTGAACTCTGCACGTGTTGAACGCTGAGAATGCTGTTTAGTGGGCCCAAAACCCCAACTTCTGAGAAATTCCGAAAGTTCCCGCACTTTTCCGGGACGCCCCGTACTATTCTTCCAGAGGCTACAGAGCGCCTTCACAGGCCAAGAGGGCCCCAAAAGAGCCCCAGGGCAGTCCCCAAAGAAGCACCCCACGAGGCCCGAAGAGGCGAGGCTTCTGACCCGCAGCCCAGGCACGCGGTGGCGGGATGGGTCGAAAGCCACTAGATCCGCCCCCCGATGTGGTCTTGCCACAGGGGTGCACGGCGCGCCGAACTTATGACAGCTCTTGATTCTTCTCTAGAGAACTCCCCGCGGGGCTTCGGCCCAGGCCACCGGCCACCAGGAAAATATGCAGCCTATTGTTTTTCGCTCTTGGCTGGTCTCCATGACGGCCAAGATGGCCAAAGATGGCCTCCAAGATGGTTCCGAAACGCCTCCCAGTCGGCTAAGATGGCGCCAGAATGCCTTCAAAACGACCCAAGATGCACCCCAGACGGCCTACGATGGCTCCAAGATGGCCCAAGACGGCCAAAGAAGGCCCAAAGAAGCCTCCAAGACGGCCCAAGAGCCTTCCAAGAGATCCTCCAGGAAGGCCCGAAGAAGCCAATATCATTGAGCTCCCTGCGATGTTCGAACGATTTTGGCATTTGCTTCAAAGCGGCGCTCCCGCGGCCCAAGACGGCCCAAGAGGCGCCCAAGATTGCCCAAGAGGCCTGGCGCCTTCGGTGGAGCTCAGATGGGGCCACGATCCTCGTGAGGGGTGTGCCGCAATGGCCCGAGGCCGCCATGCGAACTTTGCTACTGGCGCCTTCGGTGGAGCTCCTCTGGGGCCACGATCCTCGTGAGGGGTGTGCCGACATGTCCCGAGGCCGCCATGCGAACTTTGCCACTGGCGCCTTCGGTGGAGCTCCTATGGGGCCACGGTCCTCGCGAGGGGTGTGCCGAAATGGCCCGAGGCTGCCGTGCGAATTTTGCTAGTGGCGCCTTCGGTGGAGCTCCCTCGTTCTGGCTGGAACTCCCCCTCGCTCGATCGTGTCGTCGGCGAGGTTTGTCCCAACTTGAACTCTGTCGAAATGCCGTGACCACGATCGCCCCTGCCGCCCCGCTGCTGCTGCTGTGTGTGAGGAGGAAGGGCGCACCTTTCACAGCTCGAGACCAAGCGCCGGCGCTGCATACACCCATGTTGGTTACTTGCAACATCCTAGATTCCCAGGGCAAGTCCACAAGAAATCTTCAGACATCACACTCATATTAGTTTCTCAAACTAAGCGTGACACGCAGCAGCGTGCGCTGGGCCTAGCACCCAGTTCAACAACAAAAAACAAGCGTCGCGTCAAACAGCGCAACACCCGTGCTGATCGCCAAAATGGCGTTGTAGTCGCAAACGGCGTAGTGGTCCCTCACGTATCCGTCGAGCCCGCTCCCTTGCTCGACCCACTGGCCTCCATCCTCTCGTACATGTCACGGAGGCGGTTGCCCTTCATCTCAGCCTTGATCTCCTTCTCCTTGCTGGTCCGCAAGGTCTTCTCGATCTCGCGGTACTCCTTCTCTCGCCTCCACCACGTCGCGTCCGTGTCCACCAGCAGCATGCCACACTGCAGGCACTGGAGCTTGACCTTGCCTTGTTGCTTCCCAGCGTGATGGTCACATTGTGCTCGCAGTCGCCTGTGCGATCTCGGGCCATCTGCTCTCCCTTGAGCTTGCCCTTGGCCTTGCTCGTGGACTCGTACGTCTCGAACTCGCCGCCCTCGGCTCCACGCTGCGCGGAGGCGTAGGTGTCTTTCCTCGACGACACTCGTCGCAGTTCTTGACCACCAGCTCATGCGCATCGAGAACACCTTCCTCGATCACGTCGCCAAACTCGTCCGCAATCTTCTCGCGCGAGTGTCCAGTTCTCTCGTGTGGCGCGCGAGCCTTCAGCATCTCCTTCTTCGTCGGTGTAGTAGCATCCTTGCGTCGGCGCGGTGCCTTCTGCCAGGTCCCTGCTTCCTCGTCATCATCGTCTTCGTCATCAGGCACAGCAGGTAGGTCGTCGGAACGCGCAGAGGTAGATGCCCGATGCGGCTTCTTGCGCGTCCTCGGTCCGCACTCGCGCTGGTCCAACGCCATCCGACACAACGCGCGCACCATCACCGTCGCAGCTGCAGCGACGCCTGACTTGATCTCCTCAGACTCGGCACCCGCAGCGT